AGTAATACAATCTCAGCAAATACGATGATGCGAGTGTGTGGGCTGTTGCTTTTTCGCTAAATCGTAAAGTGGGGTAACTTTGGCACAAGCCACACCCCTTTGTTGTAGTCGTCATATATAGAGGGATCCCAATACGACGCTTTTAGCGTCGATCTGCGCACTTTTTCGTTTGAAAGCGAGGCTGTATGTGTTAGCTTCAATTCTTAATACGATCAGACGATTGAAAGTAAGGAGTTAAGACACAAAATGCATAAAGGTATGTTAAATTCAGTCTTTTCAAGCTGCAAATATTTGCGGAAAAGTCTTTCAGGATGACTCCACACGAAAATCAAAAGAAAAAATAAGGACAATCGACCGCGAACTAACGTACCTGCGATGGTCGTGTATCTTGTGCAGTGGGCTTGGTTTAAACACTTATGAACCGGATACTCCATGTACTGTGTGGATTCCGCGGGCGCGCGCGAGGAAGTTCAACACAGAGAGCTTCGGTTTCGATGCAGATATGCGCAGACGGCGCTGATGTGAAATCCCTCTATTGGCAACGCGCTATAAATGACATAAGATTCTCTAAAATGATTCAATGACAGCAATGTTATAATTAAATACTGCTAGAGGCTTGACCTGAAGAGTTTTTACGTGTAAAACTTCGTTAGAGTCCTTTCTTAGGTTTTTCAATAAACTCTAGCAACCTGTCAAAGTTGCCCTGAACCACGAAGTAACTTTGGCAGCACTTAATTAAACTCCAACTCACAATTTAAAAAAGTAGATGGGTGTCTGTTATTACTAGATTAGACTTAATGCTTCACATGACCAAAAGAGTGATCAATAATGAAAAGTAATTTCTGTTTTGGGCAGTAGAAACGATTAGGATTTTAACGGGCCATAGTTACCCCGGTTGATGGTATGTGCGCGGGGGATGTACATCATAACTCTCTAAACGTACGGTATTGTGGCGGGCAACCGACACTTTTTTGTGGCGAACCAGCAGACTGGCCTGATCAGAGATGGAATTGACCTGGCCTAACCACACCAATATATTTATTTAACCTTACGCAAGAATGAGTGGCTATCCAAACGCAATGGGGGATATCAGTTAACGAACGGTGGACTATGCCTCAGGGGGCTGTTCGTTTGGTGGAGGTTTACCACCGCTCTGTGATTAGGTAATTGATCCCAATGCCAATAAAGATTACAATAAATGTCAATAAGTGATACAGGACTGAACTAAATCTCACGGTGACCAGTGATTTCTAAGGCAATTATATGATTGGTTTATTCAATGTCAATGCTCTGTTATCCGTTATATACAACAGCAATTAACTATATACAAAATCATCCTCACGGGGAGGTAGTCCTACGTGGTCAACTGCACCACGAACGTGGTTGATCAGCCTTATCCTTAATCTACACCAGAATAACCCTCACGGTGATCAGGGTAAACCTCACAGCGATCAGGATAA